CCGATGTTTTATATTTTTGTGAAAAAAAGTAGAGAGTTATAGCTTTTGGAAGTAAAAGGTTGGGGTTTTCAGGGCTCTTTGATTTGCAGGATTCTAAATACGGAGGAATAGGAAAAGCACGGAATTGCAATGTCATGCCCATTTGGATCCTTCATTATTTTTGTTTGTTTGATTGCACTACGGGGGAAACAAATGATTCCCTTCAAGAGGTTTGAGTGAATTCTAAAATTCATATGAAATGTACACAAAAGTCCTTGGGGAAAAACACTTTGACATTGAAACCTTTGACATTGAAACTGATGTATTAACTCACTTGCATTGTTTAGCTGTATTTGTATCACCTCGTGTGCTAAAAGAATTCAATCGCCAAGTGGTACTTCAAATGGTACTCCATCATGGCGTATATTTCATTGAAAAATCACTTAATTGTGTTCTTTTAACACACAAGAATTCAATTTGTGTTTGGGGTGCAGAAATATTTCATCATGGTGCAAACCATTACAATGGACTGGGCTCTGTCCCATTTTTCTATCTATAATATTTGATACGCAGGCTGTGTGTATTCGAGACTTTTTTTTTGAAAAATCACTACTGGAAGAACCAACCGTCGGCGCCGGGCGGCTACTGAGTTGGTTGGACCCCTAGACCTTTTAGGAATAAACCCTTGATCCCAAGGCATATTTTTCCTAGTATGAGGCCATATATGTTTCATCATAATGCATTGTCTTGTGGCGACTTTGTCGTAATCCCCATGCTCCACGAGTCCAATCTTCACTGAGCATTGTGTGAGTGAGTGAATGCGTGTGTGAATGTGAGTGTGTGTGTGTGTGTGTGTGTGTGTGTGTGGTTGGGCGGGTGGGCGGGTGTGGGTGTGTGTGGATGTGGGCGCGCACGCGTATATCCGTTGTATTTGGCTTGTCCTTGGAATTTTTTTATATCGCGATGTTTCATTCCCTACTCGGAATAACCACCGTTGCCGTACTAAATGGTGAGTCCATCTAATTAGGTGAAAAAAAAGAAGAAATAAAGGATTAATGAGTGGTTGCAAGGTCTAATCTCACTTGGCAGGTTAAACTTTTTAATGCTGGTGAAAAAGAAAATTATATGAACTCTGAACATGTATCACATTCTAAAATGACATAAAGTAATTCCTATATGGTTATATACAACTTACTAGGTGATCTCCACTAACCCATTTTTTCAAATGCAAGCAATGCAACCACAACATGCAACCATGTATGAGAAAAGGCTCACTTGAACATGCAACCATGCATGAAATATATGCATCTTTACAACTATACAATAATTGAATATAAAAAGCATATGTATTTTCAGTTTCAGTTCTTATAGTACTCCCTCCGTCCCAAAATTATTGTCTTAGATTTGTCTAGATACGGATGTATCTAATACTAAAATGTGACTTGATACATTCGTATTTAGATAAATCTAAGACAAGAATTTTGGGACGGAGGAAGTATTATGTTAAATATTCATATTTCAAATAACCAAATCTCACTAAAACATATTGCAACAAATAGCCGCATCAAAATGTGGGATATCATCTAGTTATGTTAATTCATATGCAATCTCTCCTTATAGCTTCTCAATCTCCACCTTGTAACAAGACGATTCCTCATGAATTCCTACGGGCAAACTCATAGACTTGTAGCTATGGAATATTTCTGCACCCCAAACACAAATTGTGTTCCGTTAACAACATAATGATTTGAAGGATTTGGCAATAAGTTGAATTCAAGCATTTGATGAAAATATTGATTGTCCCAAGTCGGATCAATACTTTATACTTCTCCTTTGTTAGAACCATCTCCAAAACCTCTTGTGCAAAAAAGATTGGTTCAATTTTTAGCGATGGACTCCAGGGCTGAGCCTAGGTTCAAGACATCGTGGGCGCCTTGGGAACCCTGGCCACGATCCAATACATTGAGCTCTGGAGGCATGTGCTCCCAATCGCCCTCTTTGATCAGTCGGACAGTCTACAATGGCGCTGGACGGCTAAGGGCCTCTATTCAGCAAAGTCTTGCTACGAAGCCCTATACCTAGGCTCCACCACATCTCCACGGGCAGCACTTGCATGGAATACTTGGGCCCCTCTCAGCGTCAAATTCTTCATATGGTTGACCCTACAAGACCGATGTTGGACCAACGAGAGGCTGGGATGCCACGACCTGCCACACAACCCTGCTTGTGTGTTCTGCGATCAAGCTACTGAGTCCATGCAACACCTCCTGATCGGCTGCCCCTTCCCCCGCTTGGTCTGGCACAATGTGTTCCCTAAGCTTCGGCTAACCGCCAGCATCCGGGAAGGTGACGAGCCCTTCTTTGATTGGTGGCAAGCATCCACACCGTCAGCCTCGGCTTCTCTTCGCAAAGGTACTGCCTCCCTTGGGATGATCGTGGCCTGGACCCTCTAGAAGCATAGGAATGCTTGCACTTTCGACAACGAGCGACCCTCTACTGTCGAAGCTACCCGAGCTGCCCTTGCGGAAGCTAAGATGTGGGCTTCGGCAGGGGCGAAGGGGCTACGCGTTTTCATTTTTGAACCACCTTGAACGATACTTGTATCTTTGCTTTTGCTAGTCTAGCCATAATTCTAGTGTGTGACTGGCTCTAGCTTGTAACTCTTTTCTCCTATCAATGCAATGACACACACTTTGCTTATTCGAGAAAAAAATATATTTAGCTATGGATGAATCGTCCAACCAATAATTTTGTGCATGTTCCACCTTCTCCACTCCCTCTTTTTTTTCACGAATTTTCTCCACTCCCTATTTCACCCTTTAATCCGAATCACAACGATCAATGCGTAGCGCCTACATGCATGAGATGGCAGGTTGATGATGTGGATAATTGTGAGAATGAAAATAAAATGAAGTGGCAAACATATGTGACTTACTACTATGTAACAGTGCTGTATGAATACAACAAACAGTTAGGTGAATGAATTGAGGGCTTCAACTCTACGTTCGTGATGTCTGGGAGCACAAGCAAAACTACAACTGGATCGGTTATCTCCACTGGGCTTGTATTGAAAGCTGACATAGAGTTGTGCATGTGTTAAGGGTTGGGGAGCACACCATGATAATGAATCGTGATACTATTTAAAACCTTGGTATGCGTAGTTATCATGCGCGTGCAAATTGTCAGCAAGAACTGCTGCGTCACACAGCAGGTTGGACGCATGTGTATGTAGCTACCCCGACGACCGACAACTAACATACTAAATACCGTTCATAGATACCTACCTAATAGCGGCAGCAGGATGCAGACGCTACATCCATACCAAGTGCATCCTCTATAAGTCCATGGTTTGATTGGAGTATGGTGAATTGTCGAATTGTTACGGGCATCTCCTACGCGGGCTACTAAAACGGGCACTGCGTCTTTGTTCGTGGACAGTGATACGGAAGCCGGTTATTCAACCGTGTCTGCATACATTTCAAAGTGAATTTAAATAAATTGGACGATTTTCATGCAAACACAATGATTTTCATTTAAGTGAGACCAAATTCATTACATTTTGACATATTTTAACTAAGGACGCGTCTAGGGAGCAGCCGTGTGCTCCCTAGCGTTTCCTGGCGGCCT